TTCTGAGTCTCAGCAGAAGGGCTGTAAGAATCAGACATGATGAGTAATTACTGCAGTGTTCACACTCTGTATAGGAGGAATAACTTCTGACATTTGTAGCATAAAAGCAATGATTTTTCTCACCTCATGGCTTAAATTTCTTGAGTTTCTGCCCTTAGAGGTTTCCAAGAGTCAATCAGACAAGCCCATGAGCAACTTGATCTAATTGCACCTGCTCTGAATTGAGGGTTGGAGTAGATGACTTCCAGAGGACCCTTCCTGCTTAAATTATTCTATAATTTTAATAAGAGTATCCTATACTTAAGTACTTTTTTTTGTGTCATGTGTGATATTTGACAGGGTTTTTCTGATTTATTGAAGTTATTCACACCAAAATGTTCTTTGAAAAGTTTCTACTACTGTTACATTACAAAATATAATCTTATTGTCCATGTGCTTCTCTTCATATCAATGTTTGAATTCTTGGCTGCTGTAAATCATTTTAGCTATGTGGGTGGTTAGTTACAGCAATCTTATTTAATTTTTATATTTTCACATGGCAAATAGAATTCGTGATTACTCCTAATTTCTTCCTTACTGCTGCTATGATTTATAATAACCTCCATGTAAATGAGAACTGGGCCCTAGCATGCTTCATTTTAATACTGAAGTCCAAAATACTTATTTATAATGTTAGCTGCTTTCAATCTGCTGAAATGTCACTGATCTTTATTGACAGAGAATTTGCCATATCCTTCAGTGTTTAAGGGTTGACCAATTAAAGATTCAACCTCTGAGATTTGGCTTGTATGTCCAAGCCTTGGATGTATGTAATCTTGTGGGAACAGTTTGCTTCTAGAAATCAGGAAATATTTCCCTAAGCTGCTGATTGCTGGAAGAGCATACCACAGAAAGGCTAATTCTCTTACTTTGTTTTTGTTCCTAAACAGCTGTTTCCTGGACATGGCTGGAAACAGCATACTGGACTAGAAGGACCTCAGATTTGGCTCATTTTGACTGCTCTTATTTCTCTGCAAAGTAATAGCAGGTTGTAGCTGTGCCTAGTAATGATTGGTAAAGGAGAACCCAGACAAATGATACAGTTGGGGATTAAGAGAGGTTGCACTGATGATGAGTTATTGAGGTGGTCATACTTGAATGTTGAAAAGAAGCTTAAAATTTTTGCCATTCAACAAATACTACTGCTGTTCAACTAATGTAACTGGTTAAAATCTCCCTTGATTTTAAGATCTTAATTATATTGCTCTGACAGTCAGCAAAATGGCCATTTTGTATGGACCGCAAGATGTCAACAAGACACACCCACTGCCCACATTTGGCAGATTGCTTTTTTTAAAAAAAGTGAAATAGCACGTTCCAAGAGAGCCAAACCAAACCCAAAGTGAAGACAAAACCAGAAGGACCATTCAGATGGGTGTGACACTGTGTCTATTATTTGAAACAGACCTTTTTTTCAGCAGGTCCTATGACACACTTGTCCAAAGATGGGATCTGTAAGTCATTGAGTTTATGGTAACAAATGACTCAAAGTGAGCAATTCTCTCCCCGTTTGTGTTCCTTTAAAATTTAATTTAACTTTTATTGTGAGATGAAGGAAAGGACAAAGGAATTGATGATGGTCTAGCCTAAAGCCTCTAATATAAAGTTCTATCACTGGTGATGGATAGTGTGCTGTGGGCATGTTAGCTACAAAAATATATGGTTTAGGTTGATGCACACCTTCACTCAGGTTTATCTCAGCCACATTTGGGACACTTAAGGCCCTCTTCTAAAGGACTTGATGGAGGCTTTCAAAACATGAAAATACCATTGTGTTCCAAAGTGTGATGACTGAAGCAATTAGATGGCCATCTGAAAATGTAACTATTATTACTGAATACTTTCTAAATACTTTGTCATCAATTGCATGACAGAAACAGAATGACTGAAACTTTTTGTGCTTCATAACTAATGTAGAACTGTTCATTTTAAATTAATTTTTGTTATTTATTGACTATTTAAAGATGCTTTTATGAAATATTCCAGAGTAGAGGTAAATAGTTTAATTGTTAATAAATGAAAATAATTGTTAGATGTTATAATTCAAGACTTCAGTTTTTAAAATATAAAAATATCATCTACAACAAAAATAGCTGCCTAGCTCCTTGAGTTTGGTTTCTCTTGCAGTACCTCATCCAATTTATCAAATGTGCCACAGTCAATCAAGGATTATAGTATTTGCTTATTTTAAGTGAGGTTTTGGAATATAGATGTTAATAGGATGTGTGAGATCTTTCTAATATACTGATGTCTTGGAAGCTACTACTGTGTGCCCTCCATCTTTGGTCATAGAGAATAGAGTGGGTAAGCATGATTTTCCATCTGTTTATGACAGTTGAAGTCATGCACTAAAAAGATCTTACTCTGTTTAAGTTGGTTGACATTCAGATTGGAAATGAAATTATAAAAATTATCCCTGATGCATATATATAGGGTGTTCTTGTTTGCTATAGCTTCAGAAAGGAAGTTAATATTAGTTATAATATGCAGTACGTTATTAATGAAAGCTTATTGAAAAATCCTCTTAGATCTGAAGACATAGAAGCTATTTACATCAAACACAGACTCAGGACAAGAAGGCACTTTAATTTTTTACATATTGAAAATTTGAGCAGAATTCCTGTCTTGTATCAACAAAACAGATTTGTGTGTGTCTTTTCTCTGAAAGGTTTTCAAATTTCTGTTTCACAGAGTGCTTGTTTACAATGTTTTACCCAGTTTCACAAACGTATAATTGGCTCTCACATTCTATTTGTCTGGTAAGATTTCTTCCTATTTTAAACAATTATTATATTTTTTACTATAGACATCCCAGAAAAGTGCTGAGAAATGTGTGTTCAGGGATGCTTTTCTAGAAAACTACTTCCTAAAATGTGTTTGCGTATGTTTAAAAATATATTTCAAACACACCTGTGAGACTCTATCATGGTCTAGGATCACTTCTATTAGGTGTCACGTAAATACACTTCAAGTGAGCATCTCACATGGAAGGATGAATTTCTTTTTCTTTTTTTTTTAAATTAGGTCTTTTCATCTTTTAAAAGCATCACTAATATCCTAGCTTTCTTCATGTGTGCATTACTGAAGACATCTTGGTTCTTAAAGAATTTATCATACCTTCTGACTACTTAAAAAAATAAAAATAAAGAAGTTATATAACACTTAGATTATTATTGCTTGTTGTGCCACTGTACATTTGGCACAAGTGTTAAGAGTGATTCGCTGCAGTTAGTTATTGTGAAGTTCAATGGACACGTGATCATAGAATCATAGAATCCTTAGAGTGATAAAATGTTATGCATTACTTGTCAAAGAAACTTGCAGCAGCACCCTCCAAGCATTTCTTAAATGGGAAAGGAAATCTAATGGGGTTATCCATCTTAAAAACTTTTGCACAAATTTCTAAACTCCTCTTGTGTTTCTCTTGAGTTACTTTGCTCTCTTGAGCATCACTGGCTAGCTGGCCTCTAGTTTTAACTGTGATGTACCAACCCTTTCACTCACCGAGAAAGTGTAACAGGGAGGGGGAATGGCTGTTTATGTGGGTTGATAGTGATAGGACAAGGGAGAATGGTCTTAAACTGAGACAGGGGAAATGTAGGTTAGATTTTAGGAGGAAGTTTTTCACTTAGAGGGTGGTGTTGCACTGGAACAGATTGCCCAGAGAGGTTATTGGATACCATATCCCTGGTGGCATTCAAGGCCAGGGTGGGTATGGCTCTGGGCAGTCTGGTCTAGTGGTTGGCAACCCTGCCCATGGCAGGGGAGTTGAAACTAGATGATCTTTGAGGTGCTTTTCAACCCAGGCCATTCTGTGATTCTATGAAAGCTGTGGTGACCTGTAGCATTGACCTGATTTTAAAACTGCAGCTTCTCTGGCACCATAAAGCTTCTTGATGGAATAAGCGTGTTCTCAGATTTTAGTCTGGCTTTAGTATGAAGCTGACTGTATTTATGGGGCAATCCTTCCTGCTTAGTTGTTGCAAGTCTCACTCTATAATGAAAACTGAATGTTACCTGTGGACCCTTCACAAGCAGTGTCTGGTGCTCTGAATCAGACTCTGATCTGTCTTCTTCCACTTGAGGTTGTGAAGTATGCCTGGTGGTGATCTTTCTTACAAGTTTGCAGAATCTGACAGCCTTTCAGGTATCATGTTTTCCATGGGCATAAAAAAGAAAATTTCTTTTGGTGGCAGCAAACACTTGCTATGTTTTACAGATGAAGCACTAATCAGTTGGAGCCTTGGTGCAGGAACAAATATAGATTGGAGGCCACCCAGACTGTTTTGAAAAAGGATCACAAGACTTCAGCAAGGTATAGCAAGCTGGTAAATGACTCAAGGATATGATGGGATGAAACAACAGTGATGACTTTATATGATTGGCAAAACTTTAAGAAAGCTGAAAGAAATGTCTTTCTAATAGTGGGACGAGCAGTTTTCTTTTGCATTCATTACACTTTGTGTATGTGTTTCCTTAGGAAGATGCTCTGTATTTGCAGACTAGTGCATTTGCCAAGTACTGCTGCAATTAGAATAGTAAATATTTGTTTTTGATTGAAAGCCCAGTAAATATTTGTGTATAACCCATGTGAATAGCTGGAGCCATTTTAGAGCTACAGCTGAGCAGACATAACCCTGCACTGGCCTTTCTGGGAAGTTTTCTTCTTTTTTTCTGACAACTGAGTCATATAGTTTTGTCGGTCAGGACCAGAAACAACTGCCATGCTCTTCACCTTCCAGAGATCTGAGACATGAGCCATGCAAAAACACAAAAATAAAGATGATCCCCAAATGTTTGGATTTGTCTGAGCTTGAATTTTAAACGGCAAAGTCCTCATGCAGCTCTGCATTATGGGCCTGTCTCTAATTGTAAGGTCAGTTTATGCAAAAAATTTGGCATAGCTTTTTTTTTTTTTTTTTTTTGACAGGGAGAGAAGGTGGCAGGACAGAGGAATGGTTATTTATGATCCATTGAGAAAGAATAAGGTTGCTCTTATTCTTCAATTTACTCCGGGGTTCCTGGTTCTTTCCTTATGTTTCTGTCTTTCTGTTTGTTTCCCATATATGTGTATTATATTCTACTGAAACCTGAAAGGTCTTCTCTTTTCTGTGTCTAGAAATCATCTTGCTGAGACTCTACAGAAATAGTTCTTATTACATAATGTAACTACAGTTGTATGGCCAAATCAGTGTTTAGCTGTGACTTCGTGGTTCAGTTCTCAATTCTTCTTTATGACATCTTCACAGTGACATAAATAATGTAGTCAAAATGCCTTCTTAGTTCTCTTGTTCTAATACAAGCCCAGTGCACTCTCCGGAATCATCAACCTGATGAGAAAACTGAGTGCAAGTCAAACTGTAAATGAGTTCTGTTTCTGCTGGCTGAACTCTTGATGTGCTGAGGGAGAGCTGATGCGGTGAGATGAGTGAGGCTGCAGTGTGAGTTCAATAGGCAGAAAGAGATATACGCTTTCACTGTTGCTGATAGGCCTTGTAGGAGGCCTGAAGGGATGATCTCTCCTCTTAGGTGGGGAATGTAAAAGCTGTAGGCAAGTCTAGAGAAGAACAAAAATGGGAAGAATATGGAAGTGCGATGATGAAGTAAGATTGTGCTTAGCAATAAGAATGTGAACATTAACACTGAAATAGCAGTTCACTCCTGTGAATCTGTGTACAGGATTTGTTTTTGAGGTAGAAATGTTCCACACACGTTCTTATTTCATGCTTGTTCATCTCACCACTTTTGCTTTTGCTTAAAGCATCTGGTGATGGCTACTGCCTTCACAGGACTCACTCAGTGTTTACTTATGTTCTAGCATAATCTAACCATATCCCCAGGAACTTCCTAAATATGAGGCATGTCTAAATATGAGAGACATAACCAGATCATCAGTAGGTGGTATGTAAGATAACTCCAATTCCACATGAGCAATATCCAGATTTGCAGTCTGCTACATTCAGTTCAGCACAGATTGTAGAATGATTATCTGTGGTTATGTTAACAGACACATAGATATGTGGCACTAGTGATTCGTATCTTTATGAATATACCTGCATCAAGCATATACAGAGATAACTCTTTTAATTTCCTCCTTTGCATACCTCCCCTGAAAGATTAATTCCACTCTATGGCTGCAGACTTACAGTTCAGCAGTGTAGAATTAAATTGTGACATTTTGGGTCACTCACTGAATGTGAGCAGTTGTTGAGCTTGATGGTTGAAAATTGATTTTTCAAAATTAACACATAGGTGACTTACTAGGTACTAAAACTTAACAAGTTTTTACGTGGTCATATAGAAGTGTGTACCTCTGTAAACTTTCAAGGTCTTTTTTTT